TATTTCGGTGTGGAAAGAGACACCGGTACATAAGAATTTTCAATCGAATTTTGTTGGCCTAAATTATGAATAATATTTTAATCTAGGTATCTTGTATATCTTTATTTCCTCATCATCGACTATGATTATGGTGGCAAGTCTTGGAGTGTTTTCCATGCTCTTTACATAAAGAATGTTTTTATTGAGGTTTTAAGAGTACTACTTGTATCAAGTATCGATTTAGGTGACAACTGCATGACATTTAATGATATATTTGTTTAGATAAAATGTCAAATTATTCATTTAATTGAACTACCAAATGTGATCATCCAAATTGGTGCTCTAACACCTCTGATTCTAGATAGCATTATTCTTTTGGCTAGAAAAATTGACGGTCTTGGCCAGAAAGCCACGTCCTTCCATGACTCCATCGAAGAGTTTTACATCAAAGCCAATGGTTTAACTCCTTTGGCCCAATTAGAGTTTGTTCGTTATGGGGTCAAGTTGGCATCGGGCGATAAAGACATTGACTTGATAGCTATTTCTTTTGTCCTTTTTTCATGATTAACTATTCAACAATTGTGGCAGAAATGTGGTAGAGGGGAAGTTTCTATATTATGAGCGTGATGGGTTGAATAATTTATTCGTGTTCATAATAATCAGTAAAATCTTATCTATGAATTATTTTTGTAGTGATTATAATTTGAATTGACTTCATTTATGTACATACGTACGTACGTACGTCTCTATCAATATCATATTAGTGGATTGGCTAAAAAAGGAATGGTAATTAGGAGTGTTCTTAAAACCCTGCATCTCAATTTGTGTCTGGTAAATATGTAATTGAATTATTCGAATGGAAGTTGTAAACAAATTTTTAAGTTGAATAGTGAATTTTTGGTAAATTAGAAACAGCCAACAATCTTTCGACCTTCAACTAGCAGTGATCACAATTCGTTTAAATGATGTTTGATCCATTTTCAAGTCAGATCATTCAACGCGATTTGAAAAAGTTTCAAATTAAACCAAATTATTTCACTAATCAAAAAGAAGGGAGCAAGTATCCCATTTTTCTCACCACTCAGCTAATTAATTAAAATTAATCGTTAACTTTAATTTAGACTTATATCAACTTTTATAATTAAACCAAATATGGGCTCATTTTGTACGTGACAAAGTCCAATATGGTGCTCTATGTGTCATACATGTATCATCTTTCAATCATCTTGCTTGTATCTTACTTAGCCCTTGTTTGTTGGAAATAAAAATCAATATTATAATCTAATTTAAAGCCAATAATTAATTTTAACAGCATATTTCAAGGGACCCACAATTTTTCAATTACACATTTCATCAATTTTCATCAAAATATATTAAAAATATGATTTTAATCCCCCATCAAACAAGGATCAAGTTTCTTTCGAAATAATGATTCCATCAGTAGCGATTTAAGATTGGTTATCCATTGATAAAAGTATTTTACATGCTTATACTTGCTTTTATCTACCTAATTTAGTTAAATTATGTTAATTCATTAAAAAAATAATAATAATAATAATAATAAAAAAAAAAAAAAACATGGGTGCATTTGGCATGAAGAAAGATGAGGTGGAACTTAATTTAAGCTGATTCGAAGCAATTAAAAATAAACCTGATTGTACATCATCAATATGAAGCATTAACATAGTATTTGGAGGACATTCACAAACTTCGAGGTAGGGATGATTTTGTTTCCTATTTTGATTCAATTTTACTTGGAAAAAAAATTAGGGCACTAGTTTCGACCTAATTTTGGGACTATAAGTACAATTTTTCATCATTCATGCAAAGGGGAAGCCTCGAAGAAAACTACGGGAAGGCTAAGATTGATCAAGATCCATTAGGATTTATAAATTCAATTTGTATTCATATAATCATATGATGCTCGACTAATTAGATATACGCTAATATTACATTGAACTCTATAATATGAAGTTTTGATATTAAATTCAGATTTTGACGTTAAATGTTTGTTTGATTTTAATGATTATTAGGATTTTATTGCTTTTTAATAACTTGACCATTAATTAATTAGATTTTTTAATTTCTATTTCATTCGAGAGAAGTA